TTTCTTTCTGAATACATGGTCATAAGATGACTGATGTTTCCCTGTTAAATCCTGCATAGAGATATAAGAAAGCCTTCAAAACATCAACAAATAAACCCATTGCTGTTGAGTTGGTGTGACTTGTAGTGGTTCTGCGTATGTCACAGTGGAACTGTGTTTGATAGGGTTTTCAGTGGACAGTTGTTTGAATATATCACCAAGCTTATCTTTCGAGGAGCCTCGGAGTATACTCCACACTCCAACTTTTCAGTAGTGCAGCTGAGCACATCAATGGCTTGCATCACCCAGAGGATTTTCCCAGTAAAACGGACTCCTACATTTGACAAAGGAGTGCTCTGACCTCAAAAGCAAATCAGTTTCTGTGTGGGATACACTCCTGGACACCACGTCAATTCAGACTCATAGAGGGTAGAGTGGGACCACTCCCCAGGCTTTCTAAGGTGCATCTCTGTATGGAAGCCGACGGCCTCATCTTTCACCCATGGAGCAGCCTGTGGGTTCAGACCACCACTACCTTTGGGGTTAGCAGGTGAGATCTTAACCACAGCCTTGGCAGGCCTTAGGTTGAAGACACAGAGAATATTGATAAATTATTCATCGCCATCCACTTTACAGAGACAAACGAGTTAGACACAGATTACAGGCTCCTCTGACACCAGACTACAACTCATGTTTGCAATAAAGAACCTTGAAGACAGTCTCACCGTGGTAAAGTACCCGGCGGCTGACCTACCAGATCATGCCTTGGTTGAAGATCAGAGCAAGGACATTGCCACTGATGTCAAATTCCGTGTACGAGGGCTGAAGGAGAAAAGAGACAGTCGTCGCATTAGCATCTCAAAGAGTAAAAATAAAAAAGCCAGGTGTCTCCAGGTAGACATGGCTAGCCTTCCAAGTACCTTATTACAGCCACAGCAACGGGACGATCAGTATTAATGAATGAAATCACAAGAAAGCCTTTATTTTTTTTTCATACTAAGTCATTTCAAAGTGCTCTCATTCAATGCTGTGGATATTCTCTCAGGCCTTGCTGGGGAAAGTAACACTAACAACAAACTTCTGGAAAAGCAATGGTGAAGTTTAAAAATCTCATTCTCTCAGACCCTGTAGAACTACTTCTAGGAATTTGTCTTATGGAAGTCACCTTAAATGCAAGTACATTTTATTAATAGATCATTTTATTGGGGGCTCTTATAACAATGAATACATCAATTATATAAAGTATATTTGTATACATTGTCATCATTATTTTTTAAACATTTAGTTTCTATTTGAGCCCTTGGTATCAGTTCCTCCTTTTCCCCCTCTCTTCCCCACCCTCGTGACTCCTTGACAAATTATAAATGATTATTGTTTTCACCAACCACGGTCTCCCTTCCCCATAGTTTCTGCTGTCCGTCCCCCTGGGGGGCGGGGGTGGGGTTATGTGTTCATCACTGTGATCGGTTATCCCTTCCTCCCATCCTCTCCCCACCTCCCTCTACTCTGTTGGTATCGCTACT